AGTCCCCATCCTCACCCCGAGTGCTGGCCCGTTTCTCACCTCAGCGGTCCGGTATGGACGGAGTGATGGTGGCCTCCCAGGGTCCGGCCCACCCCCCTCGCCGCCCCAGTGCACAGGCCCTTAGCGTCGCCCCCGTGCACAGGGCCCTTGGAGTCGCCCCCCCCCCCCCCCTGCACAGGGCCCTTAGAGTCGCCCCCGTGCACGGCGCCCTTAGCGTCGCCCCCCTGCTGTGTGAGTGCCCCTAGTTGAGGACACTGGTCTGCCTGGGCCCGGCCTGACCTGCCTCTTGTCCTCTGGCAGGTACACTTCTTCGGGCTGTGTGCTCTGTGCAGGTGGGTAGGCAGCAGCTGGGGGAAGGGGCTCAGGGGCCGTAGGGGGAAGAGGGGCAGCAGCGAGGGTGGGTGCGACCCAGGAAGACTCCCTAGGGGATGGGTCAGAGGGGCCTGTGGGAGCTGGGGAGAGGTAAGGCATTGGGGAGCCCAGGCAGTGAGGTGAGCGCAGCCCGCGGGGAAGGGAGCAGCTTCTCAGGCCTCGCTGCCTGGGCTCTGAGGATCAATAAACTGGATGGGTCCAGGGCTGCCCAGGGTGGTACCCGGCAAGGCTGCCTGGGGTGGCTCTCCAGGGTGAGAAGAGGGGGCACCCCAGCTGGCTCTGACTGTCACCTTCACCCCTTTAGGTCCTAAGCCTTTGCCCCCCAAGGGTCTGCAGTATCTGGTGCTCCTATCTCATGCCCACAGCCAAGAGTGCAGCCTGGTGCCCGGGCTGCGGGGGCCCGGGGGCCGCGATGGTGGGCTTGTGTGGGAGTGCTCCGCGGGCCACACCTTCTCCTGGGGCCCCTCCTCAGGCCCCGCACCTCCAGCGGAGCCCAAGCCAGCCCTCCTTCCAAGTACTTCCCAGAGAAGCTGGTGCCCAGAGGCCAGGGGTGGGCAGGAGCCTGCAGGTAGGCGGGGCGGGAAGAGCTGTGGAGAACAGGAAGGGAGAAGGGTTTCCCTCTCTGGAGCTCAGGACCTTTGGCTCTAAAAATGATCTGTTCTCAATGGACTCTGCTGTCCAGGGAATGTGTCCTTAAATAGATGTTTAGGTGTAAAAAGGAAAGTGCATAATAGGATGTATGGCATGTGTTTTGGTGGGAAAATAAGGGGGGAGAAAGCACTTTTGAAAGAATGAGATCTCCCTGGGAAGGCAAATGGAAACCAGATTGCCTGTGGGGAGAGCTAGGCCACTAGGGGGCAGTATTGGAAAGGAGACTTTTCACAATGTACCTTTTTATACTTGTGTGTGCTTTTTTTAACCATGTGAATGTGTCGTCTTTAAAAAAAATACCCTTTCCCACTGTAGTGGCCTCTTCCCCTTCCTAAGAGTCCTCCCATGAATTCAGACCTTAGAGCCCACCTGCCCCCATCCCTTCGGCCGGAGTTTCTTCGCCTCTAACCCCACCTGTGCCAACAGGTTTGGAATCGGAACGTGAGGAGAGGACGCAGGAGGCGAGGTTGCCCAGGTGAGGCTGGTGAAGGAGGGACGAGCTAGATGGGTGGGCAGTGGGTGAGGGGTCAGAACCCCAGGCTTGCCGTCTGCCCCTGCAGGGGAATGGGGCCCCCACCGGAGTCCTTCCCGCCCCCAGAAGACGAGGGGGAGGACGAAGATGAGAGTGAAGAGGAGATGCTCAGTGACGCCAGCCCATGGACCTACAGCTCCTCCTCAGACAAGCACGTTGGGGCTGAGGGCGGACACTGAGCAGAGCAGGGGGGTGGGGGGGCAGCTGACCAGGGATGAAGAGCTTTGCAGACTTGGTGGGAAGGGCAGAAACAACTGGAGGCTTGGAATTGGGTGGAAAGGGGTTAAGTTAGGCTTCAAGGGAGAATGAAGGCCGAATGCAGATAGGAGTAGAGGCCTGGGTGGAGTTGTTCTGAGTTTGGGGTCATCTCAGTTTCGGGGCTGGGGTGGGGCTGCGGCTGGCTGAGGCCCAGGAGTTAATGTCCTCCTCTTCACTCTTTCAGCTGTGAGCCAGATGCCCCCAGGCCGCACCCTTCCCCTGTCACCCATGCACTCGAGGAGGGAGAGACACCTCTGGCCCCTGCAGCTGCCCCCACTTCTCTTGCTGTGCCACCCTCATCAGCGTCCCCATTGGGTTCTGGAGCGCCTCTGTCTGCAGAAGATGAGGGGAAACCGGAGCTCCGTCAGACCCCTCCAGTGGCCCAGCAAACTGAGCCCCTGGCCAGGTAACCTATTGGCTGAGACAGAGGGCAGGGGCGTCCTGGGACATGGCCCTTCCTTGAGGCCCTCTGCTCCCTCTGTTCGTAGCCCTGGGAGTCAGGTCCAGTCTGCTCTGGCGGTAGCCTGGGATGAGGACAGTGCACAGATTGGCCCCAAGAGAATTAGGTAAGGCTGGGGGAAGGTTCTGGAAGGGGCTGAGAGGAGAGCCTGCAGGAGTCTTCATGCTCCTCCCTATTCTGCTCCCCCAGGAAAGCTGCCAAAAAGGAGCTGCTGCCTTGTGACTACCCTGGCTGCGGGAGGATCTTCTCCAACCGGCAGTATTTGAATGTGAGGATGTGAAGGGCACAGGTTGGGTTCCATGTGGCCTCGGTGGAGAAGGGCTGAAGGAGAAGCCGAGGCAAAGGAACCTGGGGTTGGGGGGATTGGAAGTCAGGAAAAGAAGGGTGGGGTGGACATGCAGAGCTTACCTGCAGTTCGTAATCACTGAGCCAGGTGACTGATAGGAAGGCAGAAAACCCAGCCTTGGACACACTACCCCTGCCCACGACTGCTTGTTGCATGGCCTCCAGGGACCACAGGAGTGACGGTAGCGTCCGCAGGTTCTCTGGGTGATAGCGACTATGATAAGCACTTGGCCTTTCGATCTTCAAGACGTCTACTCAGATGCTGATACTGTTCCCACTTTGCAAACCAGGAAGCCAAGGTTCACATGGTTAAACTCTGCCCAAGGCTCCTCAGCTAGTGCGTGATAGTGCTGGGCTCTCCGAGTTTTGGCCTCATATTCAGGAGAAGTTTGAGGCACAGAAAGGGCAGGGCCCGCCCTGACACAGCCAGAGCCCTCAGGGCAGGTCTGGGGCCTGGGAGGGCTCACACAGGGCTGGTGAGGCATGGGGGTACCAGGAGCAAGTAGCGGGGGAGAGTCCCCAAGTGGCAGCGAAGCTCTGGCTGTGGACATTCAGCAGCTGCTCAGGTACAGAGCCCGTTCAAGGAGGAGACGGAAGCAGCCCCAACGGCAGTTTAACTCAGAAAGTGGACAAATAAAACGAGAGAATTCATGTACATGGACAACAGTGGGGTGACTGCAGGGAGTGGGGGTGCGGAGGGGTGGGTGAAGTGGAAGAGGGCATGGAGGGGATAAATAGTGATGGAAAAAATAAATGAAATCAGAGAAAGGAAGGAGTGTGGGGGTTGGAGGGGGAAGCCCATGGGACTTAGTGAGACGGGCTGTGAAGCTGGGTCACAGAGGAAGAGAAATGTATTCCAGAAGTACTTGGAAGTCAAGGTTGAAGAACACACTACCCTTAAGAGTGTTCCAGGTTGAGAGTATGTGTGTCCAAAACAGATGTCAGCTCTTACTGAAAAGCAGGCCACCTGGGTGATGTTGTACTTGAATGTTGACCGTGAAGAGGACAGTCATGCCCCTACAGTCTGTCCCATGCCCAGCAGACAGCACGTTCATAGTTGGGGCCTGGGCTTTACAAGGGGAAGTTGTGGCAAGGAGGTGAGATCATAGAAGTCAAGGCTACATTAAGTCAAGGGCATTTTGTGGTCAGGGCGGGAGGGGAGGGGAGGGACGCTCGTGTAGGTGACGTGAGCCAGGGTGACGGTTTTCGGCAGAGGAGCCTGCCTGGCGGGTCGGCTCTGGGTCTCCCTGCGGAGACCGTTCCCCTCCTTCCCGTAGCACCATAGGAAGTACCAGCACATCCACCAGAAGTCCTTCTCCTGCCCAGAGCCGGCCTGTGGAAAGTCCTTCAACTTCAAGAAACACCTGAAGGAGCATGTGAAGCTGCACAGTGGTCAGTGGGGGGAATGCCTCCTCGTTTCCCCTGTGGATCCCTTTACCTCCCCCTGTGGGTCTAGCGTGTCCTCCTAAGGGACCGTTCACTTCCCTTGGGGATCCTTTACCTTCCCATCTGTGAGTCCCTTCACCTCCCCCTGTGGGGCCGTCAGCTACCTGCAGCTCCTGTCACACTCTGGGTGACTCACTCGCACACTCAGCATGCATTCCCTGTGTTGAGCACGTGCCTGCTTGAGACTGTTGTAGGTGCTGGGACGCCTCAGTGAGCAAAGCAGGCAGTCCTCGCCTGAGCTGTCCACTCCCGTGACACAGAGCACGGAAGAAGGGAAAGCATGGAAGTGAGGGGCGCATGGGGGGGTTGCTCTTGTAGAGAGGGAAGGTGCCTTGAGCAAAGACCTCAGTGAAAGGAGAAAGGGAGACGTGTCCATCTCCATGAGCAGCGCGTGGAAGGATGAGAAGACAGATAGGTCGGGGGGTGCCCCAAGACTACCATGAGGATGGCTTGGCTCCTGGGAGGATGAGATGGATTCCACCTCAGGGTCTTGAGCAGTGAAGGGACACAGCTGACTTGAAAAGGGGAGCTGTGGCCCTAGTCAGTTTGGCTCAGTGGACAGAGCATCGGCCTGCAGACTGAAGGGTCCCGTGTTCAATTCCAGTGAAGGGCACATACCTTGGTTGCAGGCACCAGGCCCTCGTCAGGGGCATGTGGGAGGCAACCAATCGATGTGTCTCTCTCACATCAGTGTTTCTCTCTGTCTCTCCCTTTCCCTTCCACTCTCTCTAAAAATCAATGGAAAAAATACCCTTGGGTGAGGAATTAAAACAATAAAGAGCTGTGGCTGCCACGTGGAGTAGGGACGGCAGGAATGTGCAGGGCGCAGTGATGGTGGTCTGGAAGCCGACAGAGTGGAACCAGAAGGGCTGCCATGGGAAGGACATATTAGGCGCAGGTGGGAGGGGCGGGAGGAGTCGGTGACCTGGAGGATTCCAGCCTGAGCACCTGGGCAGAAGGTAATAAGGCTTCTTGAAACAGAGACGCGTGCTGTACGAAAGGGACATTTTATTGGGGGCATATACTAGGTATCCCAGAGGATGTGAATCGAGTTTGGGGATATGGGTAGAAAAGGTATGTTTGTCATGAGCACGTGGGTGGTTTTTGGAGCTGTGGGTGGCATAACCCCACATGGAAGGACTGAGCCAGGTGAAGAGGCTTGAGGTGGGAAGGGCAGCTGCAGAGGAGCCAGCGAGGCAGGCGAGGAAACTGGTATTGAAGGACCAAGCAAAGTGCTGGGGAGGGGAGTTGTGCCGGTGCACAGGGCTGAGTAAGAGGGTGAGGACAGGCCACCAGACATGGTGGGAAGCCATCCTTGACTAGATGGTGGGTGACAAGGGAAATGACAGCCAGAATGGAGTGAGTTCCAGGCGGGAAGGAGCTAAGGAAGTGGAGACTGTGAGTATGAACAACTCTGGGTATTGCTGAGAAAACAAGCAGAGAATTGGGGTCTTAGCTAAGAGGGCTGTAAGCTTGGGGCACAATGGGACCGACCCCTCAGAGAGGAAAGACTGACTGACTGACTGGGGTGGGGTGGGCACCCTCTGGTCAGTGAGGGGGTATCAGGCACAGTTGGAAGGTGGCCACAGAGGAGCAGGTGGTAGTCACATATGTAGGCACAGAAGCATTCTGGCTGGTGGATTTGGGGGCAGGATATGAGCATCCTCTCTGGGCTTCCCTCTTATTGATGACTTCAAAACAAGCTCAGTGCTGAATGGCGCTGCTGGAGAGGAGGTGGTGTGAACATGGCCTTCTGGACTCCAAAGAGGGGCGAGTGAGCTGGCCAGGGAAATGCAGAGGCATGTGGCGGCCCTTGAGATCTGTGGTGGATGAACGTGGAGGCTGAGCGGAGGGGTTTCTGCCCCCTCAGTATACAGGGGCAGGCCTGGGGCAGGCCCGGAGTTGTGTTGATGCTGCATTGGTTTTAACCTAGCAGGTACAGCTGAGGGAGAGAGGGACAGGTGAACTGGTGTGAGTGACTGAAGTCACTCTGTCCTAGAAACCGCGCTGGGCAAGGCGGGACTGGGGACGGCGTTGGGCCCTGGACTGGCAGCCTGGAGTCACTGGATTATCAGTGTGACAAGGTAGGGTATGGTAGGCAGGTCCGCGGCTGGAACTCGGATGGTTGAAATTGTGGTGATGGGGTATGGGAGTGGTGGTTGAGAAGGGTGGGCTGCTAGGTCAGTGAATGTCTTGTCACAAAACAGAGAAGTGAGTGCTGGCCAAGTAGGAAGCAAACTGACGTTAGGATAGCTGGAGAGAAGGCCTGGGGCCAGTATTGCATGGAGCACAGGAGTAATGGAGTCGAAGGCTGCCGGTGTGTGTATGTGATCTGAGGGCAGGGTATACAGAGTGGTGTTGCAACAGGTCTAAGGGGCACCTTGAGAAGCTTGGAGGTGGCAGGGAGGGCAGGTTCCAGAAAAAAAAATAGAGGGGATTGCTGACAGCCACAGGCTGTTGTTGGGGGCCAGGATGGATGTGATGTGTAGGCTGAGTGGAACAGTACTCCTGTGGGGGCTGGTGGATGGGATGAGGAGGGGCCACAGCCTGGAGATGGATGCTGGGGTGTCCCCATGCCCCCGCAGACACCCGGGACTACATCTGTGAATTCTGCGCCCGGTCTTTCCGCACCAGCAGCAACCTGGTCATCCACCGGCGCATCCACACCGGAGAGAAACCGCTGCAGTGAGTGTGGGGTGTTGGAGGAGGGGCCGGCAGGACACTCAGGCACCTGGGCTGAGGCCCCTAACTCCCCTCTGCTGACCCTGGCACAGGTGTGAGATCTGCGGCTTCACCTGCCGCCAGAAGGCCTCCCTGAACTGGCACCGGCGCAAGCATGCGGAGACAGCAGCCACCCTGCGCTTCCCCTGCGAGGTCTGTGGCAAGTGCTTTGAGAAGCCGGACAGCGTGGCAGCTCACTGCAGCAAGAGCCACCCAGCGCTGCTCCTGGCCCCATCAGAGCAACTCAGCCCAGCGGAGCCCAGTTCCAGTGTCTCTCCCCCTGCGCTCCTGGGGGCCAGCGATGGGTGCAGGCCCTCGGGTGTCTCAGGCTCTGACCCTGCTTCCTAAGCAGGGACCACGGGACTGAAGAGGAGAAAGGCCAGCCGCCTGGTTCCTGGGAACTAGGGTGAGGGGGAGTCAGGGCACAGGCAGGACTGGACTCCAGGGCAGTAAGGCTGAGTAGTCTTCCTACAGGACAGAATAAACTCGGTATTTTACATGGACGTGTGGGCAGAGTGAGTGAGTTTGCACCGGAGGCGCAGGAATCCTGAAGCGCCAGCCTCTTCCTCTCTGCAGCACCCCCTCAAGGACCCAGGCTTCCCAATTTGCTTGGGCACTTTGCAGCCCTTTCCTGCGGAGTGTCACACCTGTTTGGGCACCAGATGCCAGGGTCCAGCCCCGGGGGTCCAGGGGTTCCCAAAGGTGTGGACGGAGACAGTGTTCAGAACTCTCTAGCTCTCTTTAGTCTCTGTGGATCTCCCTGTGCCTGGCTGAGGCCACAGAGAAAGATCCTGAGGCAAGCTGAGCCTTTATTTTTATAGTCAGAGGTAAACAAGGTAGTGGTTACCAAAGTTACACTGTTCTTGTGAGTTTCACTTGTTTTTGTTCTTGTTGCACTTCCCTCAGCCCATTAGCTTCCCAGGTAAGATCTAGGGAGCATTATAAGGTCAAGCCTAATTATGCTTAAGAGGACTGTGCCCTCGAAGCTGGGACTTGTTTGTGACTTTGCCAACAGGTCAGTCTGAGGTTTAACCCTATAGAGGCTCCCCACACTCACTGGAGCAGAGCAGGCTGTGACAGCAGGGAGAGTACCGGGTCACTCTGGAGGTATGGACCAGCAGGCATACGATATGTGACCCTGGTCCGTGTTCTGTCCATTAAACAGGAGAAGCAAGTATACAGGCCCAGAGAATCTTGCCTTCTAGTACAAAAGCAAGAGGGCTGTGCGTGCAGCATTGCTGAGCTGCCTTGGGAAGAGCGAGACCTAGGGACTTGGAAGGGGCCTGACTCTCAGGTCACTTCTCAAGTTTGCAGAGACAGTGGCCTCAGGTGTGATAAAGGAGGCTCTTGGCCTCCGGAACCCAGATACATGCCTCCTTTATTTCACCAGTCACAGCAGAACACTGCTGGCCCAGGAAAGCCCCACCCTGCCCTGTTGCCTCTGGAGTGTGAGCTTGATTCACGTGCTCCACTTGGCTGTGCCAGGCTTTGGGGACCATGTGGTCTTAGCCTAGGTCCCAGGGCTAATGTCCCTGCCTGGCTGGAGGATACTGTCCTGAGAGGCACCGGGTCTGGGACAGGTGGGCAGCCATGCTGAAGGCTCCCACCCACCTTCATGAGAGCGGGCCATCTCTCTAAGGCAGCAGGCTGTGCGCCTCTGGGTACAGATGTCCTTCAGTTGAGCCATTTCTGCCTGCAAATTTCCAATCTGTCCGAAGACTAAGGAGGCTAGTAGCTAAGTGGAACCGTGAGGCAGGAAGGGCAGGTGGGATGTGACAGAGGCCACATGTGTGATCAGTACCTGAAGAGGCAGGACATCAAAAGTACCCAGGCAGGAGCAACAGAGGAGACTCCGGCTGGAAGAAGATGGGACAGAGAAAACAGATCAGGTGGGAAGCAGGGAAAGAAACACCTGAGAGCACGGCAGCTGGGGGACACCCCCACCCCCACCCCCGGGCTCTCCCAAGCATCTGGGGGCCTGACCGACTCCTTCCCCGCCCCCAGAGGCACAGAAGGACTGGCAAGGAAGCAGGTGTAGGGCTCGCAGGAGGCCAGTAGTAAAGGCCCCACCTTGTGAGTTGGCCCGCAGTCCCTGTGACTATATTGGCGTTTGCATAGCCTACTCCAGGGCTGCCTCTCAGCAAGGCTCCCTTAGCTGGGACACAGGACGTCCCTGCTTTTGCTGTCCCACCGCCCAGCATAGATGAGGGCGGCTGCTGTGGTGCCTTGGGTGGTGGAGGTGGCGCGAGCATATGGGCCAGCTGGTGCTGCGACAGGAGCGGCTGTGGCTGGAGCACTTGCGGCACGTGGTCGCTCACCCACCCAGGTGCGGGCGCTCACCCACCCCGGTGCGGGCGCTCACTCAGGTGCCGCTCGCGGTGCAGCGCCAGCTGGGGGCCCACGGGGGCGGGGCCTCCCCCCACTCCCTCCCTCCCGGGCGCGTCACTATGAATGCAGACACGAGCCCACCCGGAGCGGAGGAGCTGGGGGAGCGTTGAGGTCAGGGTTTCATTAAATGCGTGCCTCTTTCCTGGTCGCGTGATTCCGGCTTGTTGGATTTCACTCCGCTGTTGGGAATCGGTCAGCTGACATCTGTGGAGTCACTCGGGGCCGCGTGGGGAGCTGCCATTTTCATGGCGAGGGCACTGGAATGGCCCGATACCACAGGTCCCCTCGCCGGGAGCCGACTGGCTCTGCGGACCTCGGACGCCGCGCCGCACCCAGGCCGCCGGCTCGCCGGCTCCCCCTCGCGGACAGGGACCGGGGCTGGCCGAGCGCGCGGCCGCCGAGGCGGGGAGCAGGGCGGTGCCTCTGAGCAGGGGGACCCGCTTCAACGCCGCTCTTCCGCGGTGGCCTCAGCGGGCCGGGCCGCTGCCGCCAGACCAGGAGGCTTACGAATGTTTCCCCGACGGCTCGGCCCCGCCGGCCCGGCTTACCGGAGCGGAGGACCCTGCGCGGGGCCGGCGCGCCCTCCCCGCGTCCGCGCTGAGTCGGGTGCCCCGCCGGGTCCTCCTGAGACGCGCGCGCCCTGCCGGTGCCACCACCACCCAACCCGTCCGGGTAGTGAGGCCTCGCAGCGAGGCCAGGTGATACCTGTTCTCTCACTTGCCGGTGCGTTTCCGTGGTGTTTTCATTTTTTAAGCATTCCAGCTGCAGAGCCCTCACCGTGAAAACGGCAGCTCCCCACGCTGCCCCGAATGACTCCTCTGATGTCAGCTGACAGATCCCCAACAGTGGAGAGAACCAAGCACAGAGAGTGAATCTAACAACCTGGAATAATGAGACCAGGAAAGAATGCATACATTTCACGAAATCCTGAATTCTAGATTTACTTTTTTTAAGCAATGGGGATTTTTATTAATTTTAAGTTGCAAACATTATAAAGCCAGATCAAAATGGATTTCAGGAAATGAAAGAGGAAAACAAGGGCAAACTTACAAGCTGCATCAATAACATACATTCAGCCGGGCAGGTGTGGCTCAGTGGTTGAGCATCGACCTATGGAGGTCACGGTTCAATTCCCGGGTTATGGGCTGGATCCCCACTGGAGGACATGTAGGAGGCAGCCAATCAATGATTCTCTTCTCATTGATGTTTCTATCTCTCCCTCTCCCTTCCTCTCTGAAATCAATAAAAACATATTTTTAAAAAGCTGTAATATCTTTTTTAAAAAAGATAAAATCACCTGGTACTTCTCATAAATTCTAGGAAAGACATAACAAAGTAAAAGGAGAGACCTTAAGAGTTAATCTGTCCCAAGATATCCAGGAGAGGAATTTTAAAACATATAGATAGAAAGTATAAAATACTGAATCCCCACTGACCATGCTTTTTCAGGCTGGCTGAGAAGCCATCTGCCCTCTACACCAGATGTAGTCTAAATAGATTTGTTTGCCTTGCTTCTTTTTTAAAAATGTATTTTGACTGCCCTGGCTGGTTTGGCTCAGAAGGGTCCCAGGTTGGATTTCCACCAAGGGCGTGTACCTCAGTTGCAGGCTCAATCCCCAGCCCAGGTTGGGGAGCATGTGGAAGGCAACCAATCGATGTGTCTCTCTCACATTGATGTTTCTTTCTCTCTGTCTCTCCACCTCTCTTCCACTCTCTCTGAAAAATAGATGGAAAAATATCTTCAGGTGAGGATTAACAAAAAAATAAAATGAAATACACACACACACACACACACACACACACACACACACACACTGATTTGAGAGAGGAAGGGAGAGGGTGAGAAAAACATCTATGTGAGAGCAAAACATCAATTGCCTGCTGCCCACAAGCATCCCAACCAGGGATCAAAACCATAACCTGGCTATGTGCTCTGAGCAGGAATCAAACTAGCAAACTTTCCGTGCAGAGAACGATGCTCACCTGACAGAGCCATGCTGGCCGGGCTTGCCTTGCTTCTTTAATAAATTTACTTGCTTCACTTTTTCTTAAATTGGCTTTACTACAAAGCAATCATCCCAAGTCACTCGTTTGAATTCCTTCCCACGAGGCTAAAAGAACCGAGGAGGAAACAGCCCTCTCCCTTCAACTAAGGGGGGTGTCCTATGACAGCTTTTTTGGGGTTTCTGGGGTGCCTGTAACAGAGGGATTGAACAAAAAAGAAAAAAACTCATGGACACAGACATCACTATGGTGACTGTTGGGAGGGAGGAAGTGGAGGAGGCTATAGGGGGGATAAATGGTGATGGTCAGATCTGACGTGGGGTGGTGAACACACAATAGTGTACAGATGATGTGTTGTAGAATTGTGCACCTGAAACCGTAATTTTGTTAACCAGTATCACTTACCTCAATAAATTCAATAAAAGGAAAAAAAGTTTCTAATAGTAGAAAAAAACAAAACCAAAATGAAGGAAATTTGGGTGAAGAAATTAAAAAATAAAAATTTATGAGAATATTTTATTTCACTGAGAAATAGTTGACTGTGATACTACCTAGTAATTAATGGCATTGCTAACATCTTTATATGGCTTTCCTATTTTTATATTTCATTCACTAGCTTAGTCAACAGGGGTGGGTTGGTTATTTGTGCCAGGGACTGGAAGGGGTAAACGTGGTGGGGAGATCATGTAGACCTGTGCTGTCCATTTGTCACTAGCCCCATGTGGATATTCAAACCACAATTAAAATTTTAGTTCTACAGTCACACTAGCTACATTTTATTTATTTATCTTAAAATATTTTTATTGGTTTCAGAGAGGAAGGGAAAGGGAGAGAGACAGAAACATCAGTGATGAGAGAGAATAATTGATTGGCTGCCCCCTGCACATCCCCCACTGGGGATCGAGCCCACAACCCGGGCATGTGCCCTTGCCTGGAATCAAACCTGGGACCCTTCAGTCCGCAGGCCAACACTCTATCCACTGGGCTAAACCAGGTAGGGCTCCACTAGCTACATTTTATTTTATTATTATTTTGATGCACTGTTCCTAGAGGTACTGCAATACCAGGCCAATGTGTGGAGTGGACGGAGCAAGCTCCTATTCCATCTCCTAACTCCAAAAATCCATTTAATATATTGTCCTCAGATCGAGGACATATCAGATATTAAATTGATAAGAACAGATACTACACTTGATCTTAGCCAAAAGGCCAAGAAGCGATTACTAGCTACATTTTAAGTTCTCAATAGTGCAGATAGTGAGATTCCCATCATTGCTGAAAGTTTATTGAACAGTTGATTCTGAAGACATTTTTAAAATTTTTATTTATTGATTTTAGAGAGAGGAAGGGAGGAACATCAATTTTGTTGTTTCACTTCTTTATGCATTCATTGGTTGATTCTTTTATGTGCCTGACCTGGGATTGAACCCACAACCATGTTGTATTGGGACAAGGCTCTAACCAAATGAGCTACTTGGCCAGAGCCGGAAGGCTCTTGAGGTACATTATCTACAGTGGAGATGAGGAGGGTCTAAGTTGAAGCTGTGGCAATCAGATGGAAAGAAGGGATCGCCCTGAGATACTTAATGTGATGCAGAGTGACGGTGGGGATTCTTTTAGCATGTTTTCTATATTTCTCCCTATGGTAAACGGGTAGAACCATTCACCAACAAAGTAAATACAGAAGAAGCAGGATTTGGAAAAGGGGATGAAATCAGATTTGTACCCAGTGAGTGAGAGGCAAGCCTTGGGACAATGGTCTGAAAAGCTGCTGCATCTCAGATTGTGATCTGTGAGGAGTCTGAGTGGAGCCAGCGTTCCAAGGAAGGGGCAGCAGCCTTGGGTAGGGGCTGGAGCCATGCAGCTGAGCAAGGGCTTAGAGGAAGTGGGCTGCATGAGACCGCCAGAGGCTGGCACCAGGCTGGGACACAGTGCATTTAGGCAGGGTTTTCAAACTGTGAGTGGGTCAAGAAATCAACAGACTAGGTCTCCACCAGCATTAAAAATATAGTATAGCAACTACTAATATGCTTTGTATGTAATATGAGTAATCCTATATAATAAAAGGCTAATACGCAAATAGACCAAACGGCAGTATGACCAATCGCTATGACACGCACTGACCACCAGGGGGCAGGCACTCAATGTAGGAGCTGCCCCCTGGTGGAAGCCAGGCTTACTGCTGGTGAGCGCAGTGGTGGTGGCAGGAGCCTCTCCCACCTCTGCGGCAGCACTAAGGACCCTCGGGGATGTCCACCTGCCGGCTTAGGGTGGGGAGCGGCCCTAAGCCGGCAGGCGGACATCCCTCGAGGGGTCCCAGACTGAGAGGGGACCACCCCTCCAGTGCACGAGTGTCATGCACTGGGCCTCTAGTTTTACACATATATGTATATTGGGTTGCAAAGTAAAATGTATTTCTGGGTTGTGGTCCAAGTAGCTTGAATGTCACTGATTTAAAAATTGAGCAACACAAACTATAAGCTACATGTGAACTGGGACAGTGTCCCAAATCCTGGCACATAGTAGACACTCAGGGAAGACGTACTGCATGAAGGAATGAATCAACATGTCGGAGAAATAAGAGGAAACCTAGGGCAAGGGTGACTCAGGAGCTAAAAAATGGTAATATATACCCCAGGGTCAGAATGTCAGTGATTTGGCCATGTTCAGAGCACAAAGGAGGTTGTCTCTGTGACTGCCGTGGACTGGCAGAAGCAGAAGCCAGGCTGCAAAGCAAACAGGAGGCGAGGAAGGAGGGTTGAGACAAATGACAGTGGAGATTGAGAGATATCTATTTTGTATCAAAGATATAAAAATCCAACATCCATTGGAGATGATAGGAAAGGCATGTTCTAGAGCTGTGCTGTCCAACAATGAAATCACTGGCCACATGTGGCTACTTAAAGAAGAATTAAATTGAAATACAGTTCCTTAATCCCAGCTCCATCTCCGGTGCTCAATGGCTACATGCAGCCACTGGCAGCCGTATGGTGCAGAGCCGACAGAACACTCGCATCGTTGCAGAAAGGTCCACTGGAGAGTGATGCTCCAGAAAAGAGCCTTCCTTCGTGATGTCGAGGCCTCAGTAAAACAAGCAGTGCAGCGCCCAACCTCTTCGCATGACATGTTATCCGAGCCCAACAGAAAAGCTGCTTGGAATCCCAGCACCATCTGTACACGATGACCTGGCGCCTGGCCTCTGAGGGGGGCAGCCCAGGGAGAGGCCTCTGAGGGGGGCAGCCCGGGGAGAGGCCGGTGCACGCAGCAGGAAGGCTGCTGAACTGCAGGAAGCCGTCAGGGCCGTCGGGTTACAGGTGTCCACCCAGGAGCTTCCCGCCAAATGCAGTCCCGATCCGTGCCAGAGTCATGACTGCAAAGGGCCAGCTGCGCAGGGAGGGAGCGTGGGCAAGGCTGCGAGGGGCCGGGGTACTGCACGGGACCAGAGGGCGGATTCGGGCCTGGGCACGCAGGTGGGTAAAATGCAATCGTCACAGTTTTACAAAAATTAAAGAACAAATGAACCGACTCCCATATGTACCGTACATGGCTTTTTGTACAGCACCGCATAGTAGAAGGAACGTGACAGACGACTGAGGCATTTATTATGCAGCAGATCTGTTCACCGAGGCACTCAGGCTCCCGCTAACCACTGCAGCGAGCAACGTCACTACTGGAATTTTAAAACTAAAATTTCTAATTTTGTGGAAGAAATCTCTCTGCATCACTTTTAAAGGGTCGTCTGGCACTGCCGGTTAAAACAACTTTTTAACGTGGGGTGAATTCCCCACGGTGCGATGATTCAATCTGCGGTCTACTGCCGTCGTTTACTTTCGATACCAGGTACCTGCATAATGATCGCTGCAGTACCGGGATTTA